GCCTCCAGTTATTTGCGGGGCGACAACTGTAAACTTGTTGTCGGTTGAATATTGGGTGCGCCAAGTCCGCTGGACTTACTAGTGATAAACTTGCTTGTTTTAAGAACGCGCCCTACGCGCAAAGCGCGGGCGATTAAACAAGCGGAAGGCTTCGGTTGGGTTACCCTGGGTGTCGGAGACAGTCAGCGGGCACCGAACTACCGCGGCAACGATGGATGTATATTTCCGACCCTCGTAGAGGCCGTGACGACAAGCTCATATGGCTGCACGCGCGTGTCGTTCAACTTGTCGATGTATCTGGTATTCTTGCGATTCACATGCCGACCACGCTGATTTATACGGTCTTCGTAAACCAGGCAGTGATCCCCGTTAAGAGTTGTGTATTTGCCATTTGGTCTTTTTGCGACTAACCATCACAGGTCGAGTCTCAATGAAAGGGTTTGACAGACATAGCCCAAGTTTGTGGTTTGGGTTTGGCCGGACGGCTTGTTGTTGTTTTTGACACTTGAATTTCACTCTTTTTGGGTCAAGAGGCTTATTCGCCGGTAGTAAGGAACGGACGGGCAGCCGTCCAAAGCCCCGTCCGTCCTCCTCCTCCGGTCTTCGCGCTCTCGCCCGAGTGTGGTCCACCTACAGCGTGGTGGTACCTATTTTTGGTGCAGGGGCCAGGATTGTCCTCTTTCGCTGCTGGAGTTGCCAGAGCAGAGCCCGAGACCGCCCAAATCAGGAGAGTAGTAGTAGTTTTAAGAGCGCCCCGTTCTCTTTCTCTCTGTTAATGATCCTTCCGCAGGTTCACCTACGGAAACCTTGTTACGACTTTTACTTCCTCTAAATGATCAAGTTTGGACATCTTTCCGTCAGCTCGAGGCGACGACCCCAGAAAACCCTCGCGGGCAACGGGGCCGACAATCCAAGAGCGCCAGTCCGAAGGCCTCACTAAATCATTCAATCGGTAGTAGCGACGGGCGGTGTGTACAAAGGGCAGGGGCGTAGTCGCATAGTGATGACTTCACGCCTGGGAATTCCTCGTTCATGAAACAATTGCAGCCCCAATCCCCTATCAAGAAAGGCTTTGAGCAGGTTACCCGCTTTCCTCTCGGAGAGGAAAACTCGTTCGATCCCTTCAGTGTATGCTGTGGCGTCATTAGAACATCTAAGGGCATCACAGACCTGTTATTGCTCAATCTCGTGCGGCTAAATTGCGCTTATCCCTCTAAGGAAGAAGTTGCAGACTGGACACCATTTTCTGGAGATCCGTCGACTGTAGTAGAGCCAGAGTCTCGTTCGTTATCGGAATTAACCAGACCAAATCGCTCACCAACTAAGAACGGCCGCCGCACCCACCCACCCACCGAATCGAGAAAGAGCTCTCAATCTGTCAATCCTTCCGGTGTCTGGGCCTGGTGAGGTTTCCCGTGTTGAGTCAAATTAAGCCGCAGGCTCCACTCCTGGTGGTGCCCTTCCGTCAATTCCTTTAAGTTTCAGCTTTGCAACCATACTTCCCCCGGAACCCAAAGACTTTGGTTTCCCGGAAGCTGCCCGCCGGGTCATGGAATAACGCCGGCGGATCGCTAGTTGGCATCGTTTATGGTTAGAACTAGGGCGGTATCTGATCGCCTTCGAACCTCTAACTTTCGTTCTTGATTAATGAAAACATCCTTGGCAAATGCTTTTCGCGGTAGTTAAATCTTGCGGCCGGTCAAAATTTCACCTCTAAGCGTCATAATCTGAATGCCCCGCCTGTTCGATTAGTCATTACCTCTGGTTTCGAAAACCAACAAAATAGAACCGGGTCCTATTCCATTATTCCATGCATCACCGTCCGGGCCATTCAAATAGCCTGCTCTGAGCACTCTAATTTTTCAAGTAAACTCTCCGGCCACTCGGGACGCTCGACAAGCATCCGTCTGCAACCCCATGCGGTAACTATTCGGGCGTGACAGTAAACGCAGGCGGTGCACCGTCAGTCGGAACTGAGATCCTTCCCAGGCTTTTAACTTTTAACCAGCAACTTTAATATCGCTATTGGGCTGGAATTACATGACTGCTGGCACCAGGCACCCTCCAATGGATACTCGTTAAAGGATTTAAAGTGTACTCATTCCGATTGCGAGGCCTCGGATGAGACTCACATCGTTATTTTTCGTCACTACCTCCCCGTGCCGGGAGTAGGTAATTTGCGTGCCTGCTGCCTTCCTTAGATGTGGTAGCCGTTTCTCAGGCTCCCTCTCCGGAATCGAACCCTGATTCCCCGTTACCTGTTATAGCCATTGTAGGCGCATAACCTACAATCGAAAGCTGATAAGGCAGACACTTGAAAGAAGCGGCGCCGGTGCCGAGACCGTGCGCTCAGCCCGAAGTTATTCAGATTCACCACAGGTGGGTTACGGACCGGGGCCCGACCAGTTTTGAACTAATAAAAGCGCTCTTCCCTTGCGGTCAGAGACCAATTGCATGTATTAGCTCTAGAATTGCCACAGTTATCCAAGTAAGTGGGTTTACAGATCCAATGAAACATAGCTGATTTAATGAGCCATTCGCGGTTTCGCCTTAAATCGGCTTGTACTTACACATGCATGGCTTAATCTTTGAGACAAGCATATGACTACTGGCAGGATCAACCAGGTGGCTGCTGCTGTTGGCGGCGCCTATCACGGCGGCCAAAATAGTGAGATTGAGAGAGAGGCAGAAGACATTGGGCGAGGGACCGCACGTTGGCCTTAGAGAAATAACAAACCAGATGATCAGATCTAACTGCACCTTCTCTTGCTATCCTCGGCGCCGGCAGCGCCACCGTGTGTGCCAATCTCCTCCCTTATCCGCTCCTCTTTGCCCCAGCTCCAGCGAGGCAGCCGACATTGGGCGAGGGACCGCACGTTGGCGAATCTCCTCCCTTATCCGCTCCTCTTCTCTTTGCCCCAGCGAGGCAGAAGACATTGGGCGAGGGACCGCACGTTGGCCTTAGAGAAATAGCAAACCAGATGATCAGATCAAACTGCACCTTCTCTCGCTATCCTCGGCGCCGGCAGCGCCACCGTGTGTGCCAATCTCCTCCCTTATCCTCTCCTCTTCTCTTTGCCCCAGCGAGCCAGCCGACATTGGGCGAGGGACCGCACGTTGGCCTTAGAGAAATAGCAAACCAGATGATCAGATCAAACTGCACCTTCTCTCGCTATCCTCGGCGCCGGCAGCGCCACCGTGTGTGCCAATCTCCTCCCTTATCCGCTCCTCTCCTCTTTACCCAGCTCCAGCGAGGCAGCCGACATTGGGCGAGGGACCGCACGTTGGCCAATCTCCTCCCTTATCCGCTCCTCTTCTCTTCTCTTTGCCCCAGCGAGGCATAAGACCTTGGCCCATCTCCTCCTCTCTCTCTTTCTCTTACTGTTTGTGGGGACGTGGGCTCATGAGCGCCATCGTCGCCCAATATTGGTTAGGTTGTGTATTTCACGGGTGGGAACCGCCATCATCATTGTTAGGTGATGGGGTAACCCAACGTGTGCTTTGACGAGTTTTGGCTGCTAAACTCTCTTTTTAGTATACTCGGCTCCCAGACTGCGCCCTGGTCGTGTTGAACCATGAGCGTTGTCTATGCACATTTAGGGTAGCCGTTTGCGCGTGGAATAGTGCAATGAATCTCGGTCAAGAGACGGTTGGGCGCTGCATTGAAGGCCGGCACAG